GTGTGTGTGTGTGTGTGTGTGTGTGTGTGTGTTGGTGTCTAGATGTTGAGCTTCTCTGTCTCCTCCATCTTCACCACCACCAGCTCCTCGTGAGTCTTCTCTTCCTCTCCAGGCACCTGAGTCACAAACAGAGACTTGAATAAATAACGTCCATGAAGAAGAAAGTGGATTTGTGGCCAAGCGACAACAAAGACAACGACTCACTGATTTCACTTCATTTATCACGACAGAATAAAATAAATTAAAAATAAAATGAAACAAATGAATAAAGTTTGTCAGTGAACGTAGAGGAATTGTCTAATTCATCTATCGTGAATCATTCGGTGCTTTGGTAAAAACATATTAAAGAGTTCGTCAGTTCTAGTTTACGTCAAATCAGATCGATAAATCTGCACGTGGTGAAACAACATGAGATAAAACATTGTGTGAATAATATCATGTATGTGTGCACTCGTACACATACATGAAATCACACGTGCATTGTGGGAAAATCTAAATTAGGTGAGCCCTGTCATGAAAAGGTGTGACGTCACCAAGGGCCCCTGTGTGATGGTGAGTGGGCTCCCCCTGGTGGAACCACAGCGACACTGTCGTGCACCAGAGAAGAATGATGAAGCCAGAAGGGCCGTCAGCTAAACCCTCATCATTTCTTTAAATAATTATCACGATGATGAGGATTTCCATCGGATGTTTGCTCAAAGAACTTTTTCATTTTACTGCAAAATAAAGTGTGACTGATAAATGACATGATTTATTTCACAGGTCGTGGATTTGATCATCTGCAGTTTGAGATTAATTACAGGGAAAAAGGGCTTCGAGTATTTAAACACAAATAAATATGAATTCACCGCTGATATGATGTCAGAATCTTTATTCTTCACACAGAATATGTTGTATTTTGTTTGCAAACGTCGCGTGAACCTCCTGTCCATCTTGTTTCATTTGGTCAGAGCCAGATGTTTTTAACTGAGGGGGTTTAGTTTATTTCTCTATAAATCAGATAACATTTTCAACCTGCTTGAAAAGAATCAAGCTGTAAACTCTTCAATCAATGAGGCTGTGAATGACACAGGAACAATCCTTCACAGACATTTTTGTCTCTGTGTATTTGAGCTGTTTCCTTGTCAGTGTAAGAGTTTTATTTTCAAGCCTTATTTTCATGTTGTTAAACTCACCTCCCAATAGATGCTGTCCTCGAAGCAGATGGTGTCCGGGGGGGCGCCAAAGACAGGAAGCTTCAAAATGAAACCTGGCGGCCGGAGAAGAGAAGTCGTCATTTAAAAACAAATCAGACAAGACAGGAAGAGTTTGACTGAGAGAACGTGTAGCGAGCGCCGTGATTCGTCAGAGCAACACCTACCAACGATGAGCCCTCCCAGCAGGGCGATGCCCAGAGTGACAGCGAGCGCGATGGCCTGACGGACGCCCTGAGCAGACGCATCAATTTCTCCTGAGGCCACATCAGGGAAGACGTCCGCCATGCTGAGACACAAACACACACACAGTTAAGTGTCACTCATGATCCCTGTGAGCACGATCTGACAGTCGAAGAGACAAGGTCACGCATCAAGGAGAGAGGCCTGGTGCATTCTGGGTATTTTTTTTTACTTTTGGGGAAAAGGAAATACCTCAGTCTCTTCTAGAGACTCTGAGTCAACCGAGCTAAGTTGTCCTGAGAGTGTATGAATGTCCTTCATGCACAGACACTGTGAACAACCCACGGATTTTAAAGTACGACGCCACAATATGAATCATTTACCCAGCTCCATAAACGTCCACGGTCGCCACAGCAGCGGTGACAGCTCCCACGATGGCGCCCAGGATGCCGGGCATGCCGTGCAGGTTGTTCACCCCGCAGGTGTCTTGGATCTTGAGTTTATCCTCCAGGATGGGCTGAGAGGAGGAAACAAGACACAGTCAGGCACCTTTTCAAAATAAATCTGCATCACGTGGTCTGAAATTCATTGTTCTTTGACACACACTGATTTTATCAGACAGCTGTGTGAGCACAAACATCTGCTTTTAATTAAAGTGGCTCCTGCAATGAGCGATGACACATTGTTTTAATGTTGACTCTACAGTCACCCCCCTTCACCACGTCACGAGAAGCTGTGGAACCGTCCTCACCGTCAGATACTTGTAGCCCAGGACGGAGATTATTCCGGCCAGGAAACCGACGATCATGGAGCCGAAAGGCGTCAGCATCATTTCACCGGCTGTTCCTGCTGCAACTCCACCTGCCAGGGCGGCGTTCTGGATGTGGACCTGCAGAGAACACGAGAACATGACAACATGAGAACACGAGAACACGAGAACACGAGAACATGAGAACATGAGAGAGAACGAGCTGAAACCTTCAGAGATTCAGAAACAACATCTGAGATCTGAGTCCAGGAGAAGATACTGAACGCACACACTAACTCACTCACTCACACACACACACACACACACACACACACACACACACAGGTTGTTGTGTTATTGGTGCTTCACTCTCAGTCTGAACTTTAACCATTCAAATGTTTCTTTCAGTTTTTAAAACCTTTAAAAGTCTAAATCTTCGTCGAAGGTGACGAAACAAACGAACCTGGAACGTAGAGAATGTTGTCAGCAGACGAATGAATGAGACGAAGTGTCACAACCTGTCTCACATCACGTGCTGCAGCAAACAGGTCGGACACATCAGCTGATGAGTATCACCCCCCCCCCCGACAAGTCCCAGCAGTCTCCATGATTCTCAGGTTTGATTACCATCGCTGCAGGAATGCAGCATCTTGATCTGAGGCTGATTTACACATGACAGCTGAGCCGTCATGTGACTGAGCCTTCAGGAGACATGAGTTATGACCCTGATAAGCTGAGATCCACCCTGAAGACAAAAGGTCAAGAAAAACCTGTCCTCGTCTTTCCCTCTGAGTCCCTCGTAGGACTGTGAGAGCCAAACATCAGAATAATTCATAAAATCAAACATTAAAAAAACTGTTGAGAATAAAGTTGAACTTCATCTGGTTTTTTTTTACTTTACATGATAAGATCTTCGTCCTCTCATGTTTTTCTTGTCTGTCCCCAAATACTCGTCTTTTTATTTGACCTGTCTTTGTTTCAACCTTCACTGTTAATTGTTAATTAAGCTCAGTCATCAGCAGCTTGTGGCCTCACCATGTCCAGCTTGCCGTCGTGTGCCGTGAGGGCAGACATGGCGTAGGAGGACAGAGTGCAGGCTGCCAGGGAGTAGTAGGTGTTCATGGCCGTGCGGTGCTGGTCGTCTCCGTGAGCCGTGACGGCAGAGTTGAAGCTGGGCCAGAACATCCACAGGTACAGGGTTCCTACACGCAGGCACATAACACACAACATTTGTTTGATTCATCACTGAAATGGAGTTTAACTTAGTGATTTCTCCTAAAACAACCAGAGTTAAAAATAAATTGGAAAGATAATATGACATAAATGCACAGAATTATTTTTTTAATAAATGTGGGCATCAATCTTTAGTATTTTGTTTTTATCCACCTTCGCATTAATTCCCCTCTTTATCTACTTTCCTGTTATTTTAATATTTGAAGATTAAATTGTTGATTATTTTACATAGTC